TGTATAATATTATACAAATAAACGAACAACTTAATCCACGTGTTCAACACTTTCATTGATTTTATCAATATTGACAAAAATAGGAGAATAAGAGAAAATCCTCGGTCAATCAGATCAGATTATAAAAGCTTTAATCCTGAGTGACAGCTCAAAGCGTGTCGATTTGTCAGTTTCTGTAAGAACCTTGAATCAAATCAAAACGAGTCAGTCCTCATCCTTTAACTGTGTTTTCATGGAACAACGTTCTCTGACAGGAAGGTTCCTTTCAGACGTCAGAGAACACAGCCGTGGTTCTGAGCCTCGGCTGAAGGAAATGTTGTCGTTCAGGATTTAAAGCAGCGTTGCCTTTTCCGAAGTGAAGTTGAGTCATTTTGCTGTCAGTATTTCCTGCTGAGCGCCGGGCGTTGTGCCGAGCTCCTCTATTAAATCTGATTATTCTGCACAAATACGTGTTGTACTTCTATTACCGCTCCATTTTTGCTTCAATAAGTGGAAAAACAAAGTGAAGACGGCGGAGAATTTAAACGCTGCTGCTGATTGAAGAATGAACTGTTTTGTTTATTAGACTCTTTGTGTTTTGAGATTTTAAAGTTGTGGGTTTTTAAGCCTCATTACTCTTTTTTTTTTAAAAGGTTGATTAATCATATTAAATTGTTTTTGTCTCCATAGAAGGCACAAATTAAACATGAAGTCTGAAGAAGTTATTGTAATAATTTTACATTTTTTTGTTTTAAAACTATAAAAATAATTGCCTTATTAGTAAAATAAATGAATAAAATGCTATTTCTGTTAATTCTGAGTAACATTTTTTTCACTGTCTTAAATACTAATTCTTCTGAAATCTCCTCAGCTCAGCAGGATCAACAAACATTTATCGTCGTCAAACAAACAAAATAAATAAATTTAGAACAGAATAGAAATAGCCTTTATTGTCCCGCAGAGGGGAAATTCATATTTATCCCCCTGCTTTCATAAAAACATGGCTGCCCTCTGTTTTAATGCCAGCTCTCGCTGTTCAACAGAACAAATTATTCAGCAACATCACAAACTGACATTTCCCACAGTTCCACTGAATCTCATCGAGCAAGAACAAGCAATTAAATCAGAGCAGATAAAAATAATTGGCAAATTAACGAATTATAGAACTAATCCTCAGTAACAGGATGAAATAAAAGATATTTTATATTTTCAGTTTCTCCTGGTGAAATTAAATAAAGATATTCAAAAGGCAGCTGTAAAAGAGATAAAGACCCGCTGCTTCTGATAAATATGATAAATCCTGAGCTCATATTTAAAAAGAATTTCGGTAATTTGACATCATTTCTCATCTAATCAGCTTTTTAGGGTCAGTTCAGTTGGGATGGACATGATTACCTGCCTTTTTTAGCAGCTGAGTGTTTTCATTAGACTGAACATTTCAGCTGCTGTCAGTGAAAGATTTTCAGCCAGTTCATCTCCATTGTTGTATTAACAATAACAAAATAAGTCCAATTATTTTTATTTTCTATATTTAGTTTTCATTATTTATCTCTGTGTATTTCTGAGGCTTAATGTGTGTGTGTGTGTGGGGGGGGGGGGTAATTGATTTAATCCAGTGGCACATTAAAGATGGGGTTCAATRGTCACCTGGGGTCAGAGGAACCTGAGGGCGGAGCCAAAAGTTCCTGTTAAACTAAGGATGGACAGGTTTGAAGCTGCTGCAGGATATTTTCTTAGTTTTAATATCAGATTTGTTAATTTACTGCTCGTAAAATATACGACAGGTCTGGACCACTCGTGAATTTTGTTCGTATCTGAAAAATATCATAGAATACGAAAACATTGGTGGATGCCACAAATTCTCCTAAATCACTCGTACGCACAACTTAAGAACAAATCTGTGTGTACGAATGGTTCTTGCATGAGGCCCAATGTGAGTAAACATTAGCATTGTGAGTAAACATTAGCATTGTGAGTAAACATTAGCACTGTGAGTAAACATTAGCACTGTGAGTAAACATTAGCATTGTGAGTAAACATTAACACTGCGAGTAAACACTAACATTGTGAGTAAACATCAGCACTGTGAGTAAACATTAGCACTGTGAGTAAACATTAGCACTGTGAGTAAACATTAGCACTGTGAGTAAACATTAGCACTGTGAGTAAACATTAGCACTGTGAGTAAACATTAGCACTGTGAGTAAACATTAA